TTGAACTAATAAATTGCTCTTTGGTTTTTCGCACTACCTAAGTATTATTTAACTCTCCTCTCTGTCTCCCTGTCTTATCCTCCCTCATCCAACCTGTTAAAGTACCCCCATTTTCCCCACTTTTGCCTTGATAATGTCTGTCTTGTATGAAACCCCCTCCCACTCTTAAGCTCCTTCTTCCCCTTTGCCCCTGTGTTTCCCTGTATAATCTCCCTCCTCCATTTCCAATTAAATACCTATGTTTTCCCCATTTCTACCTAGGTAACACCTGTATTTTACTATCCCTCTTTCTCATTTTCTCTACCCCCATGTTTCCTTTCCATGTCCCTCCTCCTGAAGTTAGATCACGATATATACTCACATCTAAGAATTTGGAGCTAAGACCCACAAATGGGAGAGAATATTCTTCACTTGGTTTTCTGTGTCTGTGTTACCTCACTTATTATAACGGTTCTAGTTCCATGCGTTTTCCTACAAATTTCATGATTTCATCTTTCTTTACTGCTGAGTAGATCTCCATTGTGTAAATGTACCATATTTTCATTATCCATTCATCAGTGGAGGGACATTTAGGTTGTTTCCATCTCTTAGCTATTGTGGAAAGAACAACAACAAACATGGATGTACAAGTGTCTCTGAAGTAGGATGAATGCTTTGGGTATATGCCAAGGAGTGGTATAACCGGATCATATGGTAGATTTATTTTTTAATTTTTTTCTAGTTCTCCACACTACTTTCCATTGTGGTTGCACCAGTTTGCAATCCCACCAACAGTCGAATATTTCTCTTTCCCCACATCCTCACTAGCATCTGGAGTCATTTATTTTCTTGAATTTAGTCATTCTGATTGGGGTATGATGAAATCTTAGATTGATTTTGATTTGCAATTTCCTAATTACTAAGGATATTGAACATTTTTAAAAGTGTTTCTTAGTCATTTTCATTTCTTCTTTAGAGAGTTCTCTGTTTAGATCCATTGCCTGTCTTTTAATTGGTCATTTTTTTTCCTGATTCTTTGTTTTTTGAGTTCTTTTTATATTCTGCATATTAATCCTCCATCAGATTACACATCCGGTGCAGATTTTTATCCCACTCTCTAGGCTTCCTCTTCGTTGGTTTTGGTTGTTTCCTTTGCTATATAGAATCTTTTTAGTTTAATGAGGTTCCACTTGTTGATTGTGGAGCTTAATTTCTGAGCAACTAATGTCCAATTTAGAAAATCCTTCCTTGTGGCTATATCTTGTAGGGTACTATCTAAGTTTTCTTCTAACAGTTTCAGCACTTCAGGTTTCGTATTGAAGTTTGTGATCCATTTGGAGTTGACTTTTATGCAGGGTGATAGATAAGGGCCTATTATGGTCAGTGAGTGGTAACTCTATTATATCTACCCTCCTGGAGGAGGGATGGTATAATGCTACATTAGAAAAACAAAAGGAACATGCGTAGTGATTTAATATTAAGAGAATAAATAAAAAATTACTCCATATGTAAGAAGGATCTACATTATATATGGTAGGAAAATGTGTAAAAGACTATAGAAAAATTAATAGGGGTAGGAGAGTGTAGGGTCTCTCCATCTCCTCATGGGTTGTTGGCCACCGGTCCACAAGGACAAAGGGAGCAGAAGTGATGAACAGGGTCAGTAGTGATTTAATATTAAGAGAATAAATAAAAAATTACTCCATATGTAAGAAGGATCTACATTATATATGGTAGGAAAATGTGTAAAAGACTATAGAAAAATTAATAGGGGTAGGAGAGTGTAGGGTCTCTCCATCTCCTCATGGGTTGTTGGCCACCGGTCCACAAGGACAAAGGGAGCAGAAGTGATGAACAGGGTCAGGGACGGCCAGTGAGCACTGACTGAAGAAAGCCCTTCGGAAGCCTGGGGTTAGTTTTTACTCCAGGTAACTGTGCCAAAGGTCATGTTCCAAATAAGGTCAGGCATCAGTGCTTGGTGGCACTCTCCAGGTAAGTTAGGCAGAGAGCAGGAGGCCCCCTGCTGAGAAGGGGAGTCCTTCCATATAGCGCCAAGCCCCTTAGAGCTATCCGGACATGGAGGACTACAACTCTAGCAGCAGGGTTCCCCAACAGGAGAGATGTCTTTTGGCAAGAACTTGAAAGAAGATTGTTTGGAAATAGAGACAAAGGAAAGCAAAGTGAGAGTGGATAACTTATCTCTCCATCTGTCATCTTTCAGTCTTTGTATCTATCTATGTTAATCACTTATGTCCAAATCTATATTAACTTAGAAAACATTAATAAAAGATAAAAGAGAAATAGATTCAGAAAATAGTGAAAATTCCTGTCTTCCTAAATCTTCAGTTCAATTGTTCTTTAAAGACAGTACAGATATTTTTTAATGAAAGCCATTAGTTTTAATAATTTAAAGATGTTTCACAAAATTAAAATGAAATCTAAATAATGTTTAATGATAAAATATTTTAAGTTAAAAACTTAAATTTTGGATATCATGAAAGATGAATGACTGGAGAATCATTTGTATTTTTCTAAGTTGTATCTTTTTTAAAAAAGTATCCATTTTCTCCTCCTGCTTAAGAGAAATGTTCTTTTTATTTTTATTTACTTGTGTCTGAGTTTGTATTTGTGTATGTGCTTCTGTGTGTAAGTCTGCGTGTGTGTATATGGTATATGTGTGTGCGTGCTCACACGTGTGTGTGTGTAGGTGCATGCAACCCATTCACATGCATGTGGAGGCCAGAGGCAGACATTGTGTATCTTACTCCATCACTGTCTACCTTACTTTAAGAAACAGGATCTCTAACTGAACTTGAAGTTCGTTATTTTGACTAGACTACTAACCACCAAATTCCCAGGATCCTCACCTCTCTGATCCCTAATTCGGGTGCTACTGGCTTGCAGAGCCATGCTTGGGTGATCAGGATTTTATCCTGGGTCTGCTTGCTTTCACAGTAAGTAATCTTACCCACTAAGCCATCTTCTCAGTCCTTACTTAATTTTTTTAGTTCTGTTTTTTCACATAGGGTCTCAGTATTTATACCTGTTTGGTCTAGGACTCCCTTTATAGAGTAGCCTGGACTCAAACGTGTGATAATACTCCTGCCTCTGCCTTCTGAGTGCTTGGGATTACAGGCATGCATCATCACACCAACTGTTTCTGTACTGGTTATTTTCTGTTACTGTGATAAAACACCATGACCAAGGCAATTTATAGAAGGAAGAGTTTATTCAGCTTATGGTTTCAGAGGGTCTATCATCACAGGGAAGTATGGAAGCAGAGAAAGCTGGAGCAGGCATAGGAAACAGAGCACACCAGACTGGAAGCAGGAGAGCTATACACTCTCAAACCTTACCCCAGTTGACATGCTTTCTCCAACACGGCCACACCTCCTAAAGGATTCATGACCCTCCCCAAACAGCACCTCAAACCAGGGACCAACTGTTCAAATACTTGGAGCCTATAGAGGAGGACATTCTCATTCAAACCATCACATCTTCCTCTGTTAGATCTAGGGAACACAGGGACATGGTGGGAATAATTCAAGAAATTTGTGAGCAGGTTGGAAAGGGTTTTAATTCCTGTGTGATTGTAAGTGTACAATCATTTGTGAATACTTTTTCCCTCCTAACATTAAAGTGCTATTCAGGTGATTTCTATATTTTCTAATAAATTATTTTTAAATTACATTTATTTATTTGGAGCTAGGGTGTGTGGTAGTCAAAGGACACCTGGCACGAGTTGGTCTCCATCATGGGGGTCCCAGGGATGGAACTCAGGTCATCAGTCTTGGAGGCTAGCACCAGCCCAACTATTAAATATTTTTAAATTTTTATTGAATTTATGTGTATTTCATACAGAATACCTTAATCATGTTTACACTCCCTTCTTTGTTGGTACCCTCTCATAACCTCCTCTACTGGATTTCATGCATTCTGTCATTGATGTTCCAGCTTTTAAATATTTTTAATCATTATTTTTCATATAATTTTTTCAATATGCATTTGTATTTGAAACTGATGGTTTTTCCATTATCATAATTTGTTTACATTAAGAATCGCTCAAATACTATACAACTGGCTAGTGATTTAAAAACCCATGCTTACCTTGAAAGAAGAATTAGAAGAAGAAGTATGATTTCTTTTCATATTTGTGTGTGAATATAAACTCAGAGACAGTCCAGGAGGCTATACTGATTATACAAAGACAATGGGCAAGTATGTCAAATCTGTGGAACTAGCAACACCATAGTAGTTCTTTTATTAATTTTTTAATATTTACTTTACATATTAACTGAAATCTGAATGCATTTTACTTTACTTTCCCTTGCTACGGTAATGATGCCAGTCAGCAATGGTCTTATAATTGAAGATATTGAGAATCCCTAAGTTTCATTAGTTCTGGCACTGAATTCTGGATTTTGACATAACTAGAATATTGTCAAATCAGCCACAACCAGAATTATTTTTGCGTAGTAGCTTCCAAACTCAGAGAAACTAGGAAATTACAACAGTGTTTATTTTCATTCAACATCATATATAGATAATACTAAAAACGTATGAGTTTGTGCATGCCTGAATTTTAAAAACTCAATTTTAATTCAAAGGCGCCGTCTCTTTGGTTTAACTAGTCCTGTATAATGACATTTTCCCATGTCACAGGCTGAAAAATCTTTCATGAATAGTGCTTTCTGACAGTTTGTCTGTCAGATGGGAGTAGGAAGAAACAGAGGTGGAGAATATTGCTTGGAACTATGTCCTGGAGAGATGAAGCAACGGAGGTGAACTGTGATGTGCAAAGATGGGCTTATGGACTAGGTTGCTTTTGTTCTGTATTTACTCTGGCCATCTCGTTACAGTTTGTCTTTGAGTTTATGTCATCATTGCTGCTTTCTTGGACATTCTACTGGCTTCTTTCCTTCAACCCTTCTCTTCCATGCTAGTCTGCAAGGTTTCACAGTTGATGTTCCTGTGTGTGTTTTTTGCTGCTTATCTCATGTCTTCTCTTTATGACGTTTCAGCTCATCCACCATACACCATGTGCTTTAGAGTGAAATTCTACCCACATGAACCCTTGAAGATTAAAGAAGAAATCACGAGGTATTTTTTCTTTGTTTGTATATTTAGCCTACACTTCAGGCCAGGCATTCCTCTTGTCAAGATCAGAACATTTCTGGGAAGCAGGCATTGAAGTCGACATATTGCACCTCTTACTATATTGACAATGTCTTGGGAATTTTTTAACTTTTATTTGATGTGTGTAACTGTCTTGCTTGCATGTATGTAAGTGCACCACATACCTGAAAACTTTCAGAAGCCAGTAGAGAGTGTCAGATTCCCTGGGACTGGAGTTCCTGACAGTTGTTAGACACGTTGTCAATTCTGGAAACTGAACTCGGGTCTTTGCAAGAGCAGCCAGTAATTTAACTGCTGAGCCATCTCTCCAGTTCCATATCTTGGCATTTTTAAAAAAACAATTGTCATTGACAACATAATTATCTGTAAAAGGAAGCAATGTTTATGAGAGGGAGGCATTCTCTGAAAATATCTGACAGTGGGACTCTAAAAGTAAGCAGGAGATCTTTGGATATGGTCAAGTACCAGTTAATGCAGTCCTAGCCTGTCTTTGAATCTAAGCCTTTCTAGCAAGGACAGGCCCTATGGTCAGGGGAGAGTTAGTTGCTCTGCTTCCTCCTCAGAAAATGAGAAGCACAGGGCAGCTTTCCTGTCATTCTCCTCAGCTGACTCCTCAGCTGTTCGTCCTTCTCAGCCCACTCTGTTGGCTGTTATTTCTCAGACCTCCCTTTTATCTCCCTCTGCTGGGGTTCCATTCAGTTCATCTTCTCGGGACTTTGCTTCCCTGAATAACCTTGGCAAATGTTGCTGAGCTGGAACCCCAAGGTGGCACACTTCTGGATGAGTATATGAAAGAGCTGACCGTCATGCACTTAGATTCTGATGAGTCCCTGACTTAGACTCCCAAATTCCCATGCATAAAAATCTCTCACAATAATCAGATTAGGCACACATCCTATAGAAAACAAGCTCCTCTGATTATTGCCAGTGGGAAGATTAAGATTTTTAGACTTTTTTTACCAGAGCCTATGGGGAAACTTGGCCACAGTGGTTGGAAGGAGCAGATCATTTTTTTTCTATGATTAACTGGCCAACAGCCACTTAGTGAGGTTCATGTTAGAAATATGGGAGCAAGGAAAGAGGGTGTGTGTGTGTGTGTGTGTGTGTATGTGTATGTGTGTATGTGTGTGTGTATGTGTGTATATGTGTGTATGTGTGTGTATGTGTGTGTAGAGGGTGTGTATGTGTGTATGTGTGTATGTGTGTGTATGTGTGTGTGTGTGTAGAGGGTGTGTGTGTATGTGTGTATGTGTGTGTGTGCATGTGTGTGTATGTGTGTATGTGTGTGTATATGTGTGTGTATGTGTGTGTATATGTGTGTGTATGTGTATGTGTGTGTATGTGTGTGTATATGTGTGTATGTATGTGTATATGTGTATGTGTGTGTATGTGTGTGTATATGTGTGTGTATGTGTGTATGTGTATGTATATGTGTGTGTGTGTGTGTGTGTGAGAAGGAGTAAAGATAACAGACATGTTAAGTAGTGTAATTTGCCATCTGATGCGATGTGATTTTTTTTCTTTTTATAGGAAACATTAATAAGCCCCCATTAATTTCACCAGTACATTCATACACTCACCAGTTGGACGTCTATCACAACTATTGAATTCGGAACATTTTTATAACTCCTAAAAGAAACAGCATATCCAAAAGAAGTCTCTCTGTCTCCCCATCTCAGCCCCAGGCAACAACTAAACTTTCTGTGGCTGTAAATTCATGTATTCCAGCTAGTTCATATCAGTCGAATCACGGATCATGTAGCTTCTACTGGACTTGGCCTGAAATTTTATTTATAATCTTCATATTGGAACTGATTTTCCTTAGTTTCAATTATCTACCCAGAGTGGAAAATGGAATGAGCTAAACAATCTAACAAACAGAAACACAACAAAAAATAATAAAAATAAAAATAACACCTTCAACACAACCCCAAACACCCAAATAAGTCCAATAAAATTGAGTGACAACACATGAAAACAAAAATACATCTAGTGTCACCCTAAAACCCCAACACAAAAATGAAAAGATTGAGAAGAACAATCCTTGAAGGTACTGCCAGCATAATTAGGAAAAGCAAATTTTTAAAAAATGCCTCACTTTTGAATTGTCTATAATCTTGTTTTGAGAATAAAAATTGAACATATGTCACAATCTAAATAAAGACTGAGTATTTTCTTGGTGAGAAAAGCATCATTTGGTTTAAAAAAATGGTCAATAACCCTAGCTATCTATCAGCACTCTATTAGCTTTTATAGTTTAATAATATTCTATTGTGCAGGTATACCACATTTATTTTTTCCATTCATCAGTTTGTGAGCATTTGAATTGTTTCTACTTTTTGGTTATAATGAATAATGCCACTGTGAATATTTATGTACAAATTTTGGTGAAAGCCCAGTTGTTTACTTAGTTGGGTCTGGGGTAGCACTGAAGGGCACATAGCATTAATATTTTCTAAGATTTCCCCCTGGTGATTTTAATTTTCACTCTGGACTGACCAACTATGGTCCATGACCTGCTGTTCAGCTTCACATGGCAGCAATTGAAAATATAGAAATCCCATGTCTAATCAGAACCTATTAGAGTAACATTTTAACAACAACTCCAGATAATTCATGTGCTCACTAAAGTGGACAGGCATCACTGTAGGAAACTAAATTAGATTTTTAGTCAAACTTGGTAAAAAAAAATTTATTAAGGACTGTGTCTCTTGCATGCAGTTACACACTAAAGGGAGCAGAGGTGTCATTCAAATACATCATTTGTTCCTAACGCCTCTATGCAAAGCACAATACATAAAGATTCATGTGATGAAAACACTAGTGATCTAATGAATCCTTCATTGTGTTCAGTGTGATTTCAGTGATGCAGTAACAGGAATGGCAGTATCCATGCCCTGGAACTGGCCTTACTCTCTGACCATCCATTTCTTTCTCTTTAAAATGGAATTGTGCACATTACTCATCATACGGCTGAGTAAAGATCAAATTACTAAGCACTAGAGTCAGAGTTTTCCAAAGAAACACAATACCAGTGCCTGAATTCGTGCGTGTGTGTGTGTGTGTGTGTGTGTGTGTTTCTATAAAATTTATGATAGAGACTTAGCTAAGATGGTTATGAAGGCTGAAAAGACATATGACCTACTACCTTTAGGCTAAAGGTTGAAAGGAGCAGTGAAGAGGTGAGGGTGTAGATTCCAGTCCGAAAGTCTAAGAAATAAGGAGTACTGAAGGTAGATATCCCTTGCTCACATTGTCAAGCAAAGTGCATTCACCCTTACTCTGTCTTTCTGTCCCATTCAGTCCTGCAACACATTGTATAATGTCAACCCACACTGGGAGAGGCCCATCTGCTTTGCCCTTTTACCAACTCAAATACCAATCTCTTCCCTAAACACCCTTAAAAGCACCCAAAAATTATGTTTAACCACATATCTGGGTATCCCCTGGCCCAATAAGGCTGAAATGTAAAATTACCATCTGAAGGTGGTAATATATTAGTAATAAAGTGTTCTTAAAGGTTCTTTGAACAACATGTGAAGAAAAAAAGTTGGTCTCTTAGAGTTAAATGTTAAAATCACCATGAAAGGAATCTGTACATATCTTCAGAGTTCACTTTGGTCAGGAAAAATAGAGCTCAAGCCTGAGGCATGAGAGAAAGAGTTAACCTGAGTAAGAGAAATCAGAATGGATGAGCCCAAGGGAAAGAGACAAAAGCAGGGGGCTACATAGATTTTTTAAAAAATATCTATGACAACACTTAACAATTTAAAGGTTTCTCTTGTAAATTCAGTCTCCTGGATTTTCTCAGAAGCTGGGCGCATCACTTCTGCTTTCCGGTAAGATGGCACAGGTGGAGCTATGTGGTAGCTGACCCTGTGGCAACTTACCCCACTTTTGATGCGGCTTTCCCTAGCCCACTTCACTGGCCACAGTGTGCCTCCACAGGCATGTGAGCTTGCCATTCCTGTAGAGAGGTAGGGACTTGAGACAATGATACAGCTGTCCATTCCAGTAGTCAGTCAGCTGGCCTTCTGGCCTCATAACCAAAAGAATTGTTTTTGTTGTTGAGGCTGCTTTGGGTTTTTTTGTGGAATAGTTCATTGTAGGGATGTCTGCTGAAGAAACAATAAGCTTGTCTCATTATGCAGTTGAACCAATTTCTTGGTTCTGCATTGCAAAAAGAACTTGGTCAGCAGACACCCGAGATGTGGATGATGGTAGATGTAGTTGTCCCTGCATGGGAGTGAGGACTGCAGAGCCTTCTGTTTCTCTCAGTTCTTCTCAGATTTTTTTACAATGGCTGAGCCCATTCAGCCTTCAGAGCACACAGACACTTTGGGTTTCTAAATTCTGAAAGTCTCTCTCAGCTGCTTTCTGCATGTGCGTCTTTCCAGAGCTGGTTGTGAGTCTAGTTGTTGAGGTAGAAAAAGCATTAACAGTCTTATTTTTTCAAGGCTTCAGCTGACACTTAGGATAACGACCTCTTCTTTTGTATTGCAGGTACCTTTTGTATTTGCAAATTAAAAGAGATATTTTTCATGGCCGACTGCTGTGCTCCTTTTCTGATGCTGCCTATTTGGGTGCCTGTATTGTTCAAGGTGAGTCTGGCCCCAGCACCATCGCAAAGGGCTATGGCTTTGTTCTGTGTTTCCCTTCTCTCACACCTGTACCCATCTTGTCTTGTCTGTTGGGCAGTCCAGAAAGGACTGTACTTTGCTGCAATCCCCTTATCCACCCCCTACCCAAACCATTGGTCTTGGTAGAAGATTGAGCTACCGTGTTCATAGTGGTTTATACTCATACACAAAAGAACTTCCAGAACACAAAGTCAAAGATAAAGTCTTCTTTCTCAAGGTAATTTTATATGTCATTTTATATGTCATTTGATAAGGCTCTCTGAGCTGATGTGGGTAATATTAAGAGTTTCAATTGTCAAGTATGGGCCTAATGAACATAGTGAGAGAGAAAACCATGTGTAAGAAGTTGGTTCAAACAAGTAGGTCATTCCTGAATCATGTTTCATGTGCACATGTGTTTTCTATCTAATATCCCAACTTTTCTAGTCATATAAAAAGATGAGGAGACCACAATTTCACAATCTATTTGTTACATATCAGTTTGAATCTTTCTTCCCCTTTCCTGATAATTTTGCTGAACATGAATTACTTGAGTACTTTTAGCTTCAATACCTTCCTGTATTTAATGGGTAGTCATAAATCTTTCCAAGACATAGAATCTCATGATAGCAGTCTGCACCAAGTCAAAGGCAGTTCAGGTCCCTCAGAGGTGACTGCTATTCTTTCTAGGGATAAATAAGCCTCAATAGATGGGTTCAGTGGGAAATAGTGAATGTACTCATTAGAGTTGGCTTTGGAAATCTTCTACATTTTAAAAAGTGTTTGAGGGAAGGTGGCCTTCAGAACTTGAAGCAAGGACGGGCCAGCACCCAAATGAAGAAGTGCTCACAGATTCTGCTTTCTGGGCTTTTTGAAAGGCAGCTAGCTAAAGAGACTTCAGGAGTTACCCTGGTAATTCTGCCAATTCTGCCAGTTGTAGCATGAATTCTTTTTTTCATTTTTTAAAATAATCTCTCTCTCTCTCTCTCTCTCTCTCTCTCTCTCTCTCTCTCTCTCTCCCCCCCTTGTGTGTGTGTGTGTGTGTGTGTGTGTGTGTGTGTGTGTGTGTTTCCTCTCTACACACTCACACAGCATATATTTTGTGGAGAGTGGACGAGG